TTGGGTGGTCTAACAGAGTTCTGAAAGAAAAAAAGCATTTCTGGGTAAGAAAATTGGGTGGTCTAATGGGTCCCTGCAAGAAAATTGCATGAAACGGGATACAAAGTGTTTCAGTTCATATCAATAACAACTCCATCAAAATAGAATCGTATTTCCGTTTTTACCGAGGTGTGTCGAATTAGTGGTTGAATCCAAGCGAAGATAAATTCAATTTTAAAATGTTTAATGAGTCTTGGGTCGCTGGTAAATAAATTATGAAAGAAAATGCTATTCGAATATTTCAAATAAAATATTTTTAACGTCTGAAGATTTTTAAAAAGATTAGTAAATTAGCCTTAGTAGTGTGGCCTTTTTGACCGGTAGTGCCAGTCGTGAATGAATTAGTTACGGCCTGTTAACCGAGACTACACAGGGATAACTCTTGGCAACAACCGGCGACAATGATGGCTACACTTTCGAAGTTTTGATAACTTTAACATGGGTGAGTTTTTAACCTTTATTATTTTATATGCAGACCGTCAACACAATTTTATTGCTAGTTATTGTTCAGAGAAGAGCAGTTCTTGCATACACCCCTCAGAATACCCTATAAAACTATGTGATGCCTAGGATTCAAGTGGTTGCTATGTACATGTATATCGTTCTGACGTGTTGTCAATCATTGTCATTGTCAATTTTAGCATAATTTCCAATTACCCTAGGCCCAAATCAGCTGCTATTTCACCTCCCTTAGTGACTATATTTTCAAACAATTTCTTGAGACTAATGACTCATTATCAGGCGGATCATGTTATTCAGAATTTGGGCAAACTTTGATTTAAATTGTCCACTTTAAAGTAAACACTGCAGAGACTCCCAGAGTGCAAAAAAACAAAACAAAATTGTCCACACTGCTTAGTTACGAATAATTTATGATACCTGTTTATGACTGATTTTCTTCTGTTTTATATATTTCAGAGATGTGTTTGGATGAAGTTTGAAAATAGTGTGATGGTCATTTGAGCAGAATTTCTTGAAGATATTTGTCAATAAAGATTTGGGTTGAGGAAGATGGCGGAGCACAAAATGAAAAAAAAGTACACTGTAATATTTATATATGCAGTTATTCGCCTTGCTAAACAGAGGGGCGTTATATATTGTCCAATCGACAGTGTCTAATCCACCAACCAAAACGCAAGATTCACAAGCATGTTACAATGCTGTGTCGATACTGTTTTTTTCCCTGTCTCGGAGGTGGTGTTTGGTAACTATATTTTTAGGACAATTGTGATACTTAAGTGAATGGTGAACTTTGTGTTGTAAGGTGACGACTGTGATTAACTTTATAGTGAACTTTAAAGTGAACTTTAATTTCGTGAAAACGAAAAGGGGGACCACGGTGCGTTGCATGTATTAGCTTTAGAGAGCCGAACGGGGGAACGCGGTCTCGGGTGCCATCCTTCCCCTCGAGCAAGCGGCGCGACGACGGTGACGAGAAGGGTAATCGGGAGCTGCACGAACACACAATCCCTAGCCTTCACTCAACCCAAGAGCAAGAGGAGACCGGCCAACCTTCCACCGTGAATCACTCGTCTCAAGAAACTCGCCCCGACCAATTCTCCGCCAAAGTTCCCTACTGCCCTGTCGAGGACCGGCTGAGCTTCACCCTCCATGTAAGAGAAAAACGCACTTGTTGGAAAGATATACACATGCACCGCACCAGGTCTCGTCTCTCTCACCTACCTCCTATACTAGTGTTTCGCACTCGTTTGAAAGGTATACCGTTGTGCAAAAGTAGGTTTCGACTGGATTTTTCGGCTCCCATGGGCTTCCCGCCCTTCCAAATTCGTCTCTTCGCATCCCTTCTGGCCAGGGACCCTCGCTGCAACAACTTTGGTCAGGATTCGTAAGCGCGTCTCCCCGCCAGCGGCGTGCGAATGTCCGACGGGAAAACCTCGAGAGCGCTGTTCGGACGCCAAACCACGCCTCGGCCGACCCGAGCAATTCCCGCCCGGCTTTAATATTAGTTTATCTGATGTACGTAATGTTCGGACACGTGTATAAAGTTCTTAAAGATCTGAGAGGTAAACAGGAGCCAAATTATTTAAACATTTAAAAGTTAGTAATAAAATCTTAAAATCAATTTGATGTTTAACGGATAACCAGTGTAAATTATATAAAACAGGGAGTTATGTCGTCACATTTCTTAGTTATAAGTAACAAGTCTAGCTGCAGTATTCTGTACTTTTTGTAATTTATCTATTAAAAAAATAAGCTTTAAAGGTAAACCAACTAAAAGTGAATTAAAGTTATCTAATCGAGAAGTGACCAGAGAATTAACAAATGACTTAGTGGCCTCTACAGTTACAATTTACAAATACTATTTACGAGCAGAATAAGATGAAAATATATCAAAATTACCAATTACAACAGGGGGGTTATCATGTGCAAATTTACTTAATTGATGCCTTACAGAACGAAATGAAATGAAATGAAATGGGGTTTAACGTCCTACTGTTCTGCTCCTATACTGGGCTAATGAAGACGGCTTACAGAACGAATAGAAGCAGTATATCGAATATCACCAACAATAGCACCCATATCACATTCTTTGAAAGATGAGGTCAAAGTAGTTGGGGAAGAATTAATCAACTCCTCTTCAAAATTTCCCATACATACATCCCATTGTTCCAGTTTATATAAAAGTTGAAGTATTTTATATTTTGAATCGTAAACATCTGGCAACCCTGACCAAAATTCATGATGTGACGAAATGTTCTTACGATGAACCTGTATGGATGCTTTCAAGGTTCTGTCAATAACAACACATGTTTTCACGGAAGTGGTATCACACTCATAAAAAGACAAAAATTTCAATACTGACTGATTACTTATAGTATTAATACTCGAAAACTGACCAAGACCCTGAGTATCATTAAAGATACATTATTGGAGATAAGATAAAGAGATGGCAGTTCTAGCTATAATAGTTAAAAACTAGATAGTGGTAAAGTAATTTGCTGAAAATTTCAGTCAAATTGATCCACTATGAGCCGAGAAAGAAGCGGTGAAATTTCTGCATAGTCTCGGTCATCATTACTTAAAATCATTAATATAAACATCATAGTCTCGATTATCCACTTTTTTTTATTTAATTATCAATGGCCGTTAGCGGCATATAGGAATCTAATCCAGCCAACATCGAAGGCAAGCCTTGACATCGAGAGATTATTATGGTCTGGATAAGTTAATTAATGTCTAATTGATAATTTAGATAACATTTCAGGCCTAAAGAAAGACTTGTAATAAGCAGATTTTGCTCTTGCATAATGCATGTTTAAACAATGATGATAAATTACAAAATGACTGTAATCGCAAATCTACAACAAAGGCATCCAAATCTACATCTGGACTGTACTTATATGGCTTGTCCAAAATAACATAAAACTCATCTGCACTGAAACCATCTGAATCTGTTAATTCTTCTTTTATATTCACTGTACATGTAGTTTCTTCGTTACAAAATAATTTCATAGCACTGCCCCAGTTCCTACAAAAGTAAACAAAAATAATTATTTTCTTAATCATACTTAAAACCATCACAACTGTCTCTTGGATACACAGTTAGCCTAACTTCAATGCTAGATTAGACTGATTGAAGCCTATGACCTCAAGATCATGGGAGGCCTCTGGCCAAGGAGTATATGTGCATATATTATATGTACATGACATGTAAAGTCTTTTGTGACTGGTTATGATGATGTTCATGCTGTCATGCTATGAAAGTCTGAGAAAGGAAACCATGTTGGAAAATCCTGAGGATCAAACCTTGGACCTCCATGTTATCGAGCCAGCACCTTACCCACTGAGCCACTGTGGCTCATATCTTGAAAAACCCACATATATACATATAATACTATTTTAAAATATTAAATATGTAAAATTACTAATTATCCTTGCAAAAATATACAGAACCATGTTGATCAGAGTACTTTTAATCATTAAATTAAATCTGATGGTTCTAAGCACGATTTATGGTAGGTATGATCTTGATATTGAACTTGTTCTTTTGATCCGAGGCATCTGAAATGAAATAATTTTAAAAACAATAAATGAATGGTTGCATTCAGTGTTTTCAAAGATAAGTTGACATTGTAATTTTGTATTGATGACAACAGGATATGAAATGAATCCCTAATTGAAGATAAAACAATAGGATCTGTAGATACATGTAGCTATAACCTCAAATAACATTGATCAATATGATTATTTTAATAATATTTGGACATGTGTGCTATTTGGCAAGACTAGGCCACAAGGCCTATAGTTTGAAAAGTTTTTATTCAGTAATTAAGAGGGAGAGAGAGAAATGGGATTTAACATCCACTTCAATGTTGCGCGTAGGGGTCTTTAGCAGTGGGAGGAAACCGAAGGACCCTGAGAAAACCCATGAGGCTGGGCAGGTGACCCTACTCCTTGTCACGTACAATCGGGCTATCGAAACCACCCCAGTTTACTCAATGACAGACTTTATCATACAATGCGCATGCGCTTACCATTTGGCCATCCAACTACCCCACCCCCACCCCCACCTATTCAGTCATTAAAGGTGAGACAATTTACTATGACAAACACCATTACACTTGTGTTTAAATGCCTGTTGCAGTTGTGCACTATAGAATGTGTCATAATAATTATTTGTGGTGAAAATCAAAATATATAGAGAAAATATTGTTGAAAAATCATTTAAAATAGCTTATATGTACTGATGCTTGATCATGCTTCCACTGTGATTCAATATATTTACAAATAATGAAATGTACTTTTACTATACCCTTAGTTCTAGTTCTACTAGTTTCTGCTTAAAATCAACATAGTTCACATAGATGTGTAGGCCTACACAGTCACAGGTCAATAATAAATAGGCTAAACATCATCTGTTCTTGAACTTGAGAACCTTTCAAAAAATAAATTTAAATTTAGATTTGAACTCTCATTTTATTAGTTAAGGTTACTCTCTGTATACTGTATTTTAAATTTTGTTTGTTTAGATTTGTACGTCACTAGGCCTAAGCCTAAGACAAAGCCCCGTGCAAATACCTGTAGACAACCAAGCTCAAGGGCGTAGAAACAGAAATTAATTCATAATATTTTATTGATCATGCTACTTTTTATGGATTGACCACTGATGATTGTCTGCAGCACAAAACTGTATCAAAACAACGTCTTTGTTTACTTCGGACTTCAGACACGCCCATATGGATCCGAGAGAAATACGCCAAGTTTTCGCTAAAAACAAAGCTAAAATAACACACTTTTAATTTTTACTTCTGCACAATTAATCACCATACCGGACAATAATATATCTGAACTTCATTTTCATATTTTCAAATGTTTCATACATACGGGAATTTTGATTATTAAGCAAAATCAAAATACTTACGAAAATCTCTGAGAATATTGAAAACTACCATTTCACAATCTTCAACTGCTGCATTTGAAAATATCAAAGTTCTAAATTGGAAAATTTGTCCCTACCGGACAGAAATACTTATCGTTGCAAAAAATTACCGTGAAACCAAAAGAATACCGTAAATTCTAAGGAGGAGTTAGAAAAAATTAATCTGTGTAAAATCCTGTAATGTCAAAAATGACGTCCATTTGTTTACCGTTGACATTTGAGATCTCGTGTCTCGCGCGAGCGGCAGAGAATCGGACCAAAAGGACTTTGTTGCCTGTCCATCTATATACGGTCCATGCTAAAACTTAGGTAAAATTTTACAAGTAAGGAAAACTTATGCATGAATATGAATGATTTTGAAACCCCCTGGATTTAACTCATTTAAACTGTTAGGCCAAACTGAATCAAGTCTATGAATCCACAGACTTTCTGCTGTGTTCTATTTTTTCTACTATGGTACACACGAAATCATGACCCGGTATATTAAAATGGGAGGCTACATGGGGGGAATGGCCTGGTTTTTAAGCTTTATATTACTTCTGTGCTTATTAAGTCAAGTGCTGAAAGGAGTAATGGTTTGGCCTACATATCCCATACAGGTTTTACATGTTAAACAATATACAACATAAGAAAAGAACTAGCACAGTTGACAGTCTCTAATCTTGAATGATTTCATGTCTTTACTGGTTACTTCTTGATTATTACACAGTCTCGCATGATTTGCATAACTTTCGTAAACAAGGTTGACATCCCTATGAAATTTTGTCCTTAATATGCTTATTACTAGTGTCAGAAGTTCTCAACTAATTTTCTTTCAAGGTGTAGCCAATAGTGTGGTTCTTCCTCTCTGCTATTATTATTTTGCTGCTATTCATAATTTTCGTCATATGTGAACTTGTGTCTTAAATACTTCGGTCTTTAATCATTTGGTGAAGGTGAGGTTGTCTAGGGTCAAAGTTAGTTGTCCATGGAATAATGTTCACATTAGTATCGGTCTTGGATTGGTAGGTCAATAATTCAGTCCTGGTCTTCTGATCTTCACGTTTAAATGCCTTTAGAATAATTTTCTTGGGATATCCGGATTGTTTAAGATAGGATCCAAAATTTTTTAGGTTTGATTTGGTCCAGCTATCCTTAGTACAAATCCGTTTTGTACGTGGAGCACCACTGTAAGGGATAGCGTTAAAGGTGTGTTTGGGATGACAACTTGATGGAGGAAGATAATGATGGCAATCTGTTCTCTTGGAATATAGATTTGTCTCTAACGTTTCTTTTTCTTTGACAACTTTTACATCTAGGAAATTAACTGAGTTAATATTTATATCTACAGTAAATTTGATCTTTGGATGTTGGTTTAATTTTGAAACAAAATTATTACATTCTTCTAGTGGGAGAGAAGGTAAAGCCAAAATATCATCGATGAATCTGCATGAAATATCTGGTTTATTAGGTAATGGTTCATAGTAGGTTTTCATCCAGTATGACATATAAATGTTAGCATATGTCACAGCAAACAGAGTTCCCATGGCAGTCCCCGATATCTGTCTATAAAACATACCAGAAAATTCAAATTCATTGTTGTGAACAACAAAATCTGCTATTTGTAGAATTGATTCTGAATCTTCATTAGTCACAATTTTAGTTTCACGTAATGCATGTTTCAGTGCTTTTTTAAATCGGATAAAAATTATGACCTCTATAGGGTCCACAAGCTAAAAAAGTGATTTTTCATACAATCTGGGGCCATAATTCAGGAAGTTACGGTCCGATATGCGCGAATATCGAAAGGAACCAAGATCTTTGGGTTATAAACTTACATTTCAAGTTTCAACAACATCGGATTAAAATTGTGACATCCATAGGGTCCACAACCTTGATATACCATATTTTTAAGCTATTTGAGAACGAGGGGCGGCCATTTTGTCTGTTAGTTTTGGGCCGATTTTCATGAAATTCGAACTTAGCCGTCCTTAGGCTGTAACGGTGATATAATAATACGTTTTTTTAAATCGGATAAAAATTATGACCTCTATAGGGTCCACAAGCTAAAAACGCTATTTTTCGTACAATCTGGGGCCATAATTCAGGAAGTTACGGTCCGATATGCATGAATATCGAAAGGAACCAAGATCTTTGGGTTATAAACTTATATTTCAAGTTTCAACAAAATCAGATAAAAATTGTGACCTCTATAGGGTCTACAACCTTGATATACCATGTTATTACGCCATTTTGTCTGTCAATTTTTGGCTGAATTTCACGAAATTCGAACTCAGCCGTCCTTTGGGTGTAACAGTGATATAATTATACGTTTTTTTAAATCAGATAAAAATTATGACCTCTATAGGGTCCACAAGCTAAAAACGTGATTTTTCGTACAATCAGGGGGCATAATTCATGAAGTTATGGTCCGATATGCGCGAATGTTGAGAGGAACTGAGATTTTTGTGTTATAAACTTATATTTCAAGTTTCAACAAAATCAGATAAAAATTGTGACCTCTATAGGGTCCACAACCTTGATATACCATATTTTTACCCTATTTGAGAACGAAGGGCGGCCATTTTGTCTGTCATTTTTGGTCCGATTTTCACGAAATTTGAACTCAGTCGTCCTTGGGGTGGAACGGTGACATAATAATACGTTTTTTTAAATCGGATAAAAATTATGACCTCTATAGGGTCCACAAGCTAAAAACGTGATTATTCGTACAATCAGGGGCCATAATTCAGGAAGTTACGGTCCGATATGCGCGAATATCGAATGAAACCTATATCTTTGGGTTATAAACTTACATTTCAAGATTCAACAAAATCGGATAAAGATTGTGACCTTTATAGGGTCCACAACCTTGATATACCATATTTTTACGCTATTTGAGAACGAACGGCGGCCATTTTGTTTGTCAATTTTGGGCCGATTTTCTCAAAATTCGAATTCAGTCGTCCTTAGGGTGTAACGGTGATATAATAATACGGTTTTTTAAATCGGATAAAAATTATGACCTCTATAGGGTCCACAAGGTAAAAACGCTATTTTTCGTACAATCAGGGGCCATAATTCAGGAAGTTACGGTCCGATATGCGCGAATATCGAAAGGAACCGAGATCTTTGGGTTATAAACTTACATTTCAAGTTTCAACAAAATCGGATAAAAATTGTGACCTCTATAGGGTCCACAATCTTGATATACCATATTTTTACGCTATTTGAGAACGAACGGCGGCCATTTTGTCTGTCAATTTTGGGCCGATTTTCTCGAAATTCGAACTCAGTAGTCCTTATGGTGTAACGGTGATATAATAATATGTTTTTTTAAATCGGATAAAAATTTTGACCTCTATAGGGTCCACAACCTTGATATACTGTACCATATTTTTACGCTATTTGAGAACGAACGGCGGCCATTCTGTCTGTCAATTTTAGGCCGATTTTCATGAAATGTAGATCGCTCTGCTTACCCTCAGCAGAAAATGTTCATTATTGAACTTAGTCAAAGTATTGATGTAAACCAGCAGCTGCCAGGCAGGATACGCCCACATTTCTCACGAGATGGATAGAGAACAAGTTAAACAAAGATAGGTTGCCAGGCAACGAAACATACGCGAACAGCAGCTAATTCGTCCGGGCAGTCAACAAGTGTTGTCGCATATTTTTACTTCTTTCGGTAATGAAACATTTATAACACACTCATGAAGTAATTATCAGAAAACCATTAGAATTTGTTTGGTTTTTAATATCATGGATTTAGCTGTTTAAGTCATAAAAATTCATTGAAAATCAATTATACTTGTTCGTCTCAAGCTCTTAAACCCTGTGTATCAATCTGAAGTCAATCGGATGATAACTTTAGTCTCTAGAGCGTCACAAGATTTTTCAAAGTGATCAAGGGCCATAACAGTGACAGTAATTATCGAAAGTCACTGAAAATGAATAGACTTCTTTGTCTCATGTTCTTAAACACTGTGTATAAATTTAAAGTCAATCAAATATTAACTTTGGCCTCTAGAGCGTCCACAAGATATTTTGAAGTGATCAAGGGCCATAACTCTGGCAGTAATTATCAGAAATCGCTGAAAATCAATAGACTTCTTCGTCTCATGACCTTAAACACTGTGTATAAATTTAAAGTCAATCAAATATTAACTTTGGCCTATAGAGCGTCCACAAGATTTTTTGAAGTCATCAAGGGCCATAACTCTAGCAGTAATTATCAGAAATCGCTGAAAATCAATAGACTTCTTCGTCTCATGACCTTAACCACTGTGTATAAATTTAAAGTCAATCGGATATTAACTTTGACCTCTAGAGCGTCCACAAGATTTTTCGTACAATCAGGGGCCATAATTCAGGAAGTTACGATTCGATATGCACGAATATCGAAAGCAACCACGATCTTTGGGTTATAAACATGCATTTTAAGTTTCATCAAAATCGGCACAAAATTGTGACCTCCAGAGGGTCCACAACCTTAATATACCAGATGTTTACACTATTTGCGTTCAAGGGGCTGGCAGTTTTGGTCCGATTTTCACGAAATTTGAACTCAACCTTCTTTACGGTGTAATGGTGATATATTCAAGTTGAAACGGTGTTTTAAATCGGATAATAATTGTGACCTCTATAGAGCGATTCCCAGCTAAAAAAGCTGTTTTTCGTACAATCAGGGGTCATAATTCAGGAAGTTACGATCCGATACGCACAAATATCGAAAACAACCAAGATCTTTGTGTTATAAACATGCATTTCAAGTCTCATCAAAATCGGATTAAAATTGTGACCTCTACAGGATCCACAACATTGATGTACCATATTTTTATACTATTTGACTACGGCGTGGCCATTTTGTCTGTCAGTTTTGGTTCGATTTTTACAAAATTCGGATTCGATCATCCTTAGGGTATAACGGTGATATACTAAAACGATTTTTTAAATCGGATAAAAATTATGACCTCTATAGGGTCCACAAGCTAAAAACGCGATTTTCCGTACAACCAGGCACCATAATTCAGGAAGTTACGATTCGATATGCACGAATATCGAAAGGAACCGAGATCTTTGGGTTATAAACTTACATATCAAGTTCCATCAAAATCAGAAGAAAATTGTGACCTCTATAGGGTCCACAACCTTGATATACCATATTTTTATGCTATTTGAGAACGATGGGCCACCATTTTGTAAGTCAGTTTGGTCCGATATCCGCGAATATCAAAAGGAACTGATATCTTTGGGTTATAAACATATATTTCAAGTTTAAACCAAATTGGATAAAAATTGTGACCTCTACAGAGTTTACAAGCTAAAAACGTGATTTTTCGTACAATCAAGGGCCATAATCCATGAAGTCGCAGTCCGATACATGCCAATATATTTCAAGTTTCGTTGAAATTGGATAAAAATTGTGACCTTTAGAGTGTTCACAAACAATTGTGGACGGACGGACGGACGGACAGGGGCAACGACAATATGAAATGTGGGGGTATAAAAATAAAACGAACGTAATTTCTAAGGCTGCTGTAATAACCAATAAGCTAAATATTACTGCTATTCAGAATCGTCAACAATAGATTTTTTACGTCTGTAATAGTTGATAGATATGTTGAGAATTGCACGTGCGATGGCTATTTATAGTCTCCTCGACTCTTCCGCTGAGCATTATCATACTGTGTGCTGAGCGACAAATCACTTCGAGACAAGCCACTGAAGTGTGTACATTCGCCGTGTCAAGTCCAACTTTATGTACGAAAAAGTTTGGGTGCACGGGTCACCCTATTTATGTGCTCTTTAGGTAATGAGCGACAACAGAAACATGGATGAATTTCTGCTCACTGATAATTCCTTTGAAGACCAAAAGTTGTTATATGAGACTGTGAGAGGATATCTGACAATTTATAACAAGCCAACAGTGAGGCTGATGTCCCCCGCTGAAATCCCCAAATAAATAGATGACACATATTAATTAATCGCACATCTATTTTTTCCAAAGTATCAAGCAGTCAAACTGATTTTCAACTATACACTAAGTTTCATCACTCTCTATCAGATAGAATCAAAGTTATCTTGTCCCAAAGCAGGAAATTGCTTATCTTTGCTTAGCTTTAGCTCGATATGTTAATCATTGAACTCAGTCAAGACGATCATCTACATCAAGTTTAAACATTCTACCTCAATTAGAAGAAGAGTTGTTATGTTCCAAAGTCGTGACCAATCAAAATGCGTATTGCTCGTTTGCCTAAGCAGAAAATTCTCATCATCGAACTTAGTCAAGGTATTGATGTAATGAAACTATACAGCAAGTGTCATCACTCTCACTTAATGAGAACTAAAGTTATCGTGTACCAAAGCATCGACCAATCAAATTGCTTATCTCAGCTTATCCTAAGCAGAAAATGCTGATCTTCGCACTCCATCAAGGCACTGACCTCATAAACCCCTACACCAAGTTTGAACATTCAAGCTTAATTAGAAGGAGAGTTATTGTGTTCCAAACTCTCGGCCAATCAAATTGCTTATCGCTCTGCTTACCCTGAGCAGAAAATGCTCATCATCGAACTTAGTCAAGATATTGATGTAATGAAACTATACACCAAGTTTCATCACTCTCCCTTAATTGGAACTAAAGTTATTGTGTCCCAAAGCATCAACCAATCAAATTGCTTATCTCTGCTTACCCTAAGCAGAAAATGCTTATCTTCACACTCCATCAAGGCATTGACCTAATAAACACCTACACCAAGTTTGAACATTCTAGCTCAATTAGAAGGAGGGTTATTGTGTTCCAAAGTCTCTGCCAATCAAATTGCTTATTGCTCTGCTTACCCTGAGCAGAAAATACTCATCATCGAACCTAGTCAAGGTATTGATGTAATGAAACTATACACCAAGTTTCATCTCTCTCACTTAATTAGAACTAAAGTTATCGTGTCCCAAAGCATCAACCAATCAAATTGCTTATCTCTGCTTACCCTAAGCAGAAAATGCATATCTTCACACTCCATCGAGGCACTGACCTAATAAACACCTACACCAAGTTTGAACATTCTAGCTCAATTAGAAGGAGGGTTATTGTGTTCCAAAGTCTCGGCCAATCAAATTGCTTATTGCTCTGCTTACCCTGAGCAGAAAATGCTCATCATCGAACTTAGTCAAGGTATTGATGTAATGAAACTATACACCAAGTTTCATCTCTCTCACTCTTAATTAGAACTAAAGTTATCGTGTCCCAAAGCATCAACCAATCAAATTGCTTATCTCTGCTTACCCTAAGCCGAAAATGCTCATCTAGCTCATTCTAGCTCAATTAGGAGAGTTATTGTGTCCCAAAAAGTGTGATGGACGGACGGACGGACCGACAGACAGACGGACGAACCCATTTTAATAGTCCCCTGCTTTCTTCGAAAGGCGGGGGACAAAAAGAATTGACTGTCAGTAGAAAAGAGAAAACGAGAAAAATAGAAATAGCCTGTAGATTGTCTTGTTTTTATTCATTCTATAAATTTAAAGTCTACCGTCATTAGGGTGTAACGGTGACATACATATATATGAACATTTTTTTTAAATTGAAATAAAAATTGTGACCTCTAGAGGGTCCATAAACTAAAAACGTAATTTTTTGTACACTGAGGAGTCATAATCCAAGAAGATACAATCCGGTACATGTGCCAATATCTAGAGGAACCAAGATCTTTGGGATATAAACATATATTTTAAGTTTCATCAACATCGGCTAAAAATTGTGACCTCTAGAGGGTCCACAACCTTGGTATTACATATACTGAGCGCCATGGAAAACGCATCACTTAGTTTTTCGTATAACAAAATGATCCTGTAAACATATCTTATTTTTTTTGCTTCTTATTGTGAACAATATTCAAATGGGAACACATCAATAACAACACATTTGTACACTTATGGATGTTTAATCTGTAATCAACGGTACAAAGTCAGAGGGATCAAAACCAAAAGTACGACACAGATGTCAGTAGCGCGTGTGTCCTCCACGGGCTCTGGGGCAAATTGTTCCATTCTTGGACAAGAGCAGCATCTAAAGCAGCAATGGTGTGCATCTGTGGTCTCCGATAGACGGCGTCCAATCTCATCCCAGACATGTTCTATCGGTGCCATGTCTGGAGACATGGCTGGCCAGTCCAAGACATTGATGTTGTTAGCAGCCAGGTAGTCCATACTAAAACTGGCGGTATGCGGACGTGCATTATCCTGTTGGAAGTGCTGAAGATGTGCGTGCGCTCAAAACATCGGAACAATTGGTTTCAAGACATCATCACGGTAGGCTACAGCATTAACGCGACCCCTGCAAATGTGTAGGGCGGTCCGGTGATGAAATGTGAAGCCTCCCCACACCATTACACTTCCCCCACCCCCGTTGACGGCCATCAGCGTGATAAAGATGAAAGCGACTCTCATCACTGAAGAGCACACTTTGCCAGTCTACTCTTCTACATGTCTGGTGTCCTTGAGCCCATATCAAATGCCGCTGACGGTGATGATCCCTGAGGTTAGCTCCAACATAAGGTCGTCGTGCACGGAGTCCTACTTCTCTTAGACGACGTCTTACGGTGTTGGCACTTACTGGTCCTTGTCTTCAGACGACTGCTGCACCTGTTCGAGTCGCTGGGCGGAATCAGTCACGCAGATGAGTGACCCGGATGTAGCGGTCTTGAGCCTGGGTTGTAACGAGTTGTGGACAAGGACGTTGACGGTCACGTGTTGATCCAGTAACTCGAACACGTTCCACCAACCTTACAATTGTGGACTGATGACAATTGAAGTGTCTGGCAATAGCACGTGTTGACATGCCAGCCCTGGACATTCCCATGGCTTCATTCCGTTGATTTTCAGTAACTCTCAGCATCTCTAGCTCGATTCCTTCACACGTCCAACAACAAATTAAGTTGAAAACATGCTTTTAAAGGGCTCACACACAATGCTGCACGTGAATATTGGGTTTTTCATGTGCATCTCGTGCAATTTTTTTTGTGCACATGGGGCGATATTTTTTGCGTTTTGGAGCATTGTGTGAAACAATAGTTCATAGTATTGCATAATATTATACATACAAAACCACCTAGTAATAAAATATTTGGGAAAAAAAAGTGATGCGTTTTCCATGGCGCTCAGTATACTTTACACTATATGCATACGGGGAGTGACCATTTTGTCCAGCAGTTTCGGTCCGATTTTCACTAAACTCGAACTTCATTTGGTGTAACGGTGATATATTTGAATCGATAAAAATTGTGACTTGTAGAGTGTCCAAAAACAAAATGTGAACGGCTGGACAGGGGCGACGACAATATACATCCACATGGGTGTATCGCTTTCACATTGTTTTCGGAAAAGGTGGATAATAGAAGTGGCAGGGTATGCTTAAAATATCTCTATAACACCAAATACTTCTCATTTCTCCGGTAAATTTACAGTTATTAAAATTTGTGTTTCAAGATAAAGAATGAAGAATTACAAATAAAATTTACCTTCTGTCTGCAGCAGATGCCGCACATAGTGAAAGTTATATCAGAACATAAACACATCTGTAACTGAAAATATGAAACCATGTTATACATTCTGATAGTACAGATATTTATTTGTGTATGATATACATTGTACTAATAAATAAATAAATATATATCCACCTTAAGGAGACCAGTTGTATATTAATATACGCATTAAGGCCCCCATTATATTAAGTCGACAAAAGTTGGTCTCCTTAATTTTGACTGCAAAAAAAACATAAATTTGCTCTTTTTTTCTAGGGGGATGTGGACGTATATTGTCGTCGCCCCTGTCCGTCCGTCCACAATTGTATGTGAACACTATACAGCTCACAATTCTTATTCGATTTCAACTTAACTTGAAATATAGGTTTATCTCCCCAAGATCTCGGTTCCTTTCGATATTGGCATGTATCGGACCGTAACTTCATGGGTTATGGCCCCTGATTTACGAAAAATCGCTTTTTTAGCTTGCGAACACTGTAGAGGTCACAATTTTTATCCGATTTGGTACAAACTTGAAATATATGTTTATAACCCACAGATCTCGGTTCCTTTCGATATTCGCGCATATCGGACCATAACTTCCTGAATTTTGGCCCCGGATTGTATGAAAAATCGAGTTTTTAGCTTGTGGACCCCATAGAGGTCACAATTTTTATCCGATTTAAAAAACCCTGTGAATATATCACTGTTACACCCTAAGGATGGTTGAGTTCGAATTTCGTAAAAATCGACCAAAAATGACACGACAAAATGGACGCCCCTCGTTCGCAAATATCGGACCATAACTTCCTGAATTATGGCCCCTGATTGTATGAAAAATCGCATTTTTACCTTGTGGACCCCATAGAGGTCACAATTTTTTTCCGATTTAAAAAAACGTGTGAATATATCACTGTTACACACTAAGGATGGTTGACTTCGAATTTTTGTAAAAATTGGACCGAAAATGACTGACAAAATGACCGCTCCTGGTTCGCAAATAGTGTGAAAATATTGCATATGAGGGTTGTGGACCCTCTGCAGGTCACAATTTTCATCTGATTTTGATGAAACTTGAAATGCATGTTTAAAACCGACAGATCTCGATTCCTTTCAATATTCACGGATATTGGACCATAACTTCCTTAATTATGGCCCCTGATTGTACACCCTAAAGATGGTTGTGTTCGAATTTTATAAAAATCAGACCGAAACTGACGGACAAAATGGCCGCCCCTCGTTCGCAAATATTGTCAAAATATTGTGTATCAGGGTTATATTATGGACCCTCTGGAGGTCACAATTGTCATCTGATTTTAATGAAATTTGTAATGCATGTTTATAACCCAAATATCTTGGTTCCTTTCTATTTTCGTGCATATCGAATCGTAACTTCCCGAATAATGGTCCCTGATTTTACGAAAAATCGCATTTTTAGCTTGTGGTCCCTCTAGAGGTCACAATTATTATCCGATTTAAAAAAAGGTATTAATATATCACCGTTACGCCGTAATTTTGTCTGAGGTTGAGTTTCCTGAAAATTGGACCAAAATTGTCAGACAAAATGGCCACCCCTCGAATGCAAGTAGTGTAAACATCTGGTATATCAAAGTTGTGGACCCTCTAGAGGCCACAATTTTGATCCGATTTTGATGAAACTTGAAATGCATGTTTATAACCCAAAGATATCGGTTCCTTTCAATATTCGCGGATACCCGAACTTAACTTCCTGGATTATGGCCCCCGATTGTTTGAAAAATCGCATTTTTAGCTTGCAGATTCTCTAGAGATCACATTTTTTTTTTCAGATTTTAAAAACCCTTTAAATACTTCACCATTCTGCCATAATGAAGGTTGAATTCGTATTTCGGGAAACTAAACTGCCAGACAAAATGGCCGCTCTTTGTATGCAAATTGTATTGAAGTGTGTAATACGAAGGTTGTGGACCCTCTAGAGGTCACAATTTTTATCCGATTTTGATGAAACTTAAAATATATCTTTATATCCCAAAGATCTCAGTCCCATTTGATATTTGCACATTTCAGGCCATAAATTTCTGGATTTTTGACCCCAATTGTACAAAAAATCATGTTTGTTTTTAGCTTGTTCTCTAGCTATCTGTTGCAAAATGTGGGCGTATCCTGCCTGGCAGCCGCTGGTTATTTGTTGAAAGAGTTGCTTATATAATATAAGGTTATCTGGGTGTTTAGCCCGAAATTTTGAAAAAACCAGCGGCTGCCAGGCAGGATACGCCCACATTTTCGAGAGATGGATAGAGAACAAGCTAAAAAGAAAGTGATTTTTACTACAATCAAGGGCCATAATTCAGGAAATTACAATTTAGATATGTGCAAATATCGAAAGGAACTGAGATCTTTGTGTTATAAACTTACATTTCAAGTTTCAACAATATCGAATATAAATTGTGACCTCTATAGGGTCCACAACCTTGATATACCATATTTTAATGCTACTTTAGAACGAACGGCAGCCATTTTGTCTGTCAATTTTAACCCGATTTTCACGAAATTCAAACTCAGTCGTGTCAGTGATATTTCTATAAAATTACGTGTTTTCGTAATATGATAGAATGAAAGCTTGCCGATCCGTACCTACTTGTAAAAAGACGTAACTTCCTGCAGCAGTAGGCGTACGTGACTCACGGCACATAGTCCGACAAAGGGAAAGCAATGACTTCTGTTTAAGATTAGATTGATGAATTGTCCGACAAAGGATTAAGTCAGTCAATCAAGGCAGATTAAGTAGTTAATCAAGATAGGTTTATTATTAGACGGTATAACCTGATAAATATGTTGATCACTTAATTACCTAATAAATCCAGCGTATTATCGACGATAATCGGGTTGAGGGGTAGTTATACACTCAGTAATTTCGGAATTTTGAATATTATTCACCATGTCTTGATGTCCAATTGGGCATATTCCCGGTCGGACAATTTTGGGCATTTGGAAAAAAGATTCGGACAAAATCCCATCACTGGTGTGTAATGGTGATATAATAATACGTTTTTTTTAAATCAAATAAAAATTATGACCTCTATAGGGTCCACAAGCTAAAAACACGATTTTTCGTACAATGACGGACCATAATTCAGGAAGTTACGGTCCGATATGCGCGAATATCAAAAGGAAGCGAGATATTTGGGTTATAACTTTGATATATAGGGTCCACAACTTTGATATACCATATTTTTACGCTATTTGAGAACGAACGGCAGCCATTTTGTCTGTCAATTTTGGGCCGATTTTCACGAAATTCACACTCAGTCGTCCTTAGGGTGTAACGGTGATATAATAATACGGATTTTAAAATCGGATAAAAATTATGACCTCTATAGGGTCCACAAGCTAAAAACGCGATTTTTCGTACAATCAGGGGCCATAATTCAGGAAGTTAAGGTCCAATATGCGCGAATATCGAAAGGAACCGAGATCTTTAGGTTATAAACCTACATTTCAAGTTTCAACAAAATCGGATAAAAATCGGACCTCTATAGTGCCCACAAACTAAAAACGTGATCAGTTTTTCCTACAATCAAGGGCCATAATTCAGGAAATTACAATTCGATATGCGGAAATATCGAAAGGAACTGAGATCTTTGTGTTATAAACTTACATTTCAAGTTTCAACAAAATTGGATAAAAATTGTGACCTCTATAGGGTCCACAACCTTGATATACCATATTTTTACGCTATTTGAGAACGAACGGCAGCCATTTTGTCTGTCAATTTTGGGCCGATTTTCACGAAATTCGAACTCAGTCGTCCTTAGGGTGTAACGGTGATATAATAATAAGTTTTTTTAAATCGGATAAAAATTATGACTTCTATAGGGTCCACAAGCTAAAAACGTGATTTTTCGTACAATCAGGGATCACAATTCAGGAAATTACGGTCCGATATGCACGAATATCGAAAGGAACCGAGATCTTTGGGTTATAAACTTACATTTCAAGTTTCAACAAAATCGGATAAAAATTGTGACCCCTATAGGGTCCACAATCTTGATATACCATATTCTTACGCTATTTGGGAACGAATGGCGGCAATTTTGTCTGTCAATTTTGGGCCGATTTTCACGAAATTCGAACCCAGTCATCCTTAGGGTGTAACGGTGATGTAATAGAACGTTTTTTTAAATCGGATAAAAATTATAACTTCTATAGGGTCCACAAGCTAGAAACGTGATTTTTCGTACAATCAGGGGCCATAATTCAGGAAGTTACGGTCCGATATGCACGAATATCGAAAGGAATCGAGATCTTTGGGTTATAAACTTACATTTCAAGTTTCAACAAAATCGGATAAAAATTGTGACCCCTATAGGGTCCACAACCTTGATATACCATATTCTTACGCTATTTGGGAACGAACGGCGGCCATTTTGTCTGTCAATTTTGGGCCGATTTTTAGGAAATTCGAACTCAGTCATCCTTAGGGTGTAAAGGTGATATATTAGAACGTTTTTTTAAATCTGATAAAAATTATGACTTCTATAGAGTCCACAAGCTAAAAACGTGATTTTTCGTACAATCAGGGGCCATTATCCATGAAGTTTTGATCCGATACATGCCAATATCGAAAGCAGCCGAGATGTTTTGGGGATAAACCTATATTTCAAGTTTCGTCGAAATCGGATAAGAATTGTGACCTGTAGAGAGTCCACAAACAATTGCGGACGGACGGACGGACGGACGGACAGGGGCGATGGCATAATACATCCACATGAAAATGTGGGCGAAAAAAACATCAACAACACCCCAAAGAAGAATGACAAAGGCCCCATCTGAGGATATCCGCTTTGACAAATACGGACACTGGCCAGTCAAAGTGGAAAAGCGGGGGTCTGTAAAAGATGTGAGTATAATCAGACCACCACCAATTGTTCCAAGTGTGGGGTTAGACTTTGCTTCGTAGAGGGAGGCAATTGCTTTGTGGGATTCCACAAGAAACAGTGATATGCATACCTAACCTTTGTTGTGAACTATAGTTTGGATGCTATATTTTGGGTCCCTACTTGTGTTAGTTGAACTCTGGT